CGGGCTTCATCTCAGTGCAATAAGACTGAGGGTTTTTGAGTACTGCAAAAAGCAGCAAGAAATACCCCTGGCAAATGTAGGTGACTACTGATTATTATTATTAATAATAATTATTATTAACAATAATTATTATTATGAGAATAACACTAATAATAATATCGAGAGGAGAGGTGAGGCGGGGGTGGTAAGAAAGCAGTCCCTTATTTTTGAAATACAATGTTGGCCACCGTAAATCTGCCCCACATAAAAACCTTCCAGAAAGTGAGAATATGTGTGGGCCATCTCAATGGGAGTTGTGGGTGCTGCACAGCTTTGGAGGAGTTGTCATGGTAGGTTTGTCCCCTCAGTATGTGGGGCTGGCACGAGTTAAAGACATGACCAGGAGAACAGGGTCATGACCCATGGAACGAGGCACCCCCCAATATGTCTCTGCACTTCTTCCAGCCGTCCCAGGGGTGCAGCAGGTGTGTTCACACGGCACGGAGGAGGGGGACCTCTGAGAGGCGGTGACTGATGGTACCTACGGCATCTTACGTTACCCCACTTGGAGAGGGTTATCCCTGGAGAATGGCTATCCCTGATCCCTCCCTCCTCCTGCAGCATGCACACTCCTGTTAGATTGCCGGTCAGCTCAGAGGAGGGACTGCGTGATGAGAGATGCACAGCCTCCAGCGGAACGTCCCCTCACCAATGCCTCCCACACCTGTTGCTCTCCCATGAAACCAGTAAAAGTGAGCTAGACCCGGGATGGGCAGACTTCACCGATGTCCGAATCTGGCTGCGGTTTGGGTAAGGAGTCGAAAGTCTAGGGGAAGCCGACCGAGATGCCTCGACTTACGTCAGGTGAGGAACTCACCCTGGCTCGTTAGCTGAAGTTTATTTAGAGTATATGTAGCGCGGCTTTTGAGGTTTCCCTGCTTGAAAGCAGCACAACCCTCGCTCCCTCCCTAATCCTCACACAACCCTTTTCCGCAACAGCCCTTGGCACCCTGCTCTCCAGTTGCGAGGTTCTCCTCAGCACACCCAGAACCGTAACATGGTATCCAAACAGTTGATTCAATTGCTTATTTCCTCAGTAGACCACAGCTTCCTCTTCCCAGTTTGCAAGTTTTCCTGTGGGGGTCCCATCTAATGCCTCCAGCATTCTATTCTAGGGAAACCCAGCAGCCATTTTTCCCTCCCAGCCCCCACACAGGTAGGCCCACTACTCCTACCCACCATCTGGGGGTGAATGGCCCTCTCCCCCTTCTAGGGTCCATTGCTCCCAAATTCACCTTTGGTAGTGGCTGTCTTCTAGTAAGAGGTAGAAACGGCACCAGAAGAGCATTTCTTGCTGTGTTTTGCCAATTCCAGGTCTCAACCACAAACGGGGAGAAAAAAAAACAACCACCATTTATTTGAAGGCTTCAAAACCTTAAAAATTGATTCTGTTTAGGTCTGGTTCTTGCAATGGGTGACGATACAGGCAGTGTTCAATTTGTAATGAAAGAGATGCCAGGGCATAAGCAATTAGGTGCTAGGGGCTCAAGCAATATTTTAATTTTGTCACTGACGTGGCAAGCCCAGAGGTGCCCGGGCTATGAACTGCCAAGCCTAGAGGGACCGAGGATCAGCCCTGGCAAGCCCTGGATAAATAAGCACTGGGGTCAGGGCTGGGGGAGATCCTTATTTTGTCAGAAGCAGTTTGCCAATTCCCTACTCCATCCGGGATTTCTTTGGTTATTATCTATTTACTCATTTAATTTCTTTAGATTGGTAAAAGTGATAAAGAGACGGTGTCCGTCCAAGAGCTCTGGGCGCCCTGCCATTGCCTAGATGTAAAGATTGTGCTTGTTATTGAATTAGCTCCTGACACCAGCTCTACTTCCCGTTGGACTCACATGGCTGATTTGATTAAATGGGAAGCTTTGTGTGCCCTAAAGTCAAGCACTCATATGTAAGTCTCTGCAGCCCCAGAGCCATCACAGGCCAAATTCTGACCACAGTTGTGTCTCAATCAACCTCCTTCCCTTGGTGTTCAGTACTTCTGAAAACCAGGCCATTAGGCACCCAGGTTTGGTGATTTGAACAGCAACTGCTTTTTCTGCGTATGGAATTATCCCCAAACAGTTCTCTATTTCCTCAGATTTTATTCCTTCTTTGGATCTTTTAAAAGAAACCAACCTTTTGACTCTATGGTTCGATCACAAATATTGGAAAAGCTGTGTTGCTTAGTTGCAGTTTGTCCACTATGTCGCGTGGGACTGTTGCTGTTCTCTGACTGGATGACTACACAAGTAGTTCCAATACAAAGACTTCTGCACCTGTATCCATTTCCAGTTGAGATTCCATGAAGAGAGGTATAGATTCCAAGGTCAGAAGGGAACTCTGTGATCATCTAGTTCAACCTTCCGTATAACATAGGACATAGAACTTCCCCACAATAATTCCTGTTTGAACAAACTGAATTAATGGGCTTTCAAAACATGGGGTGAGGGACAGACCATACCCTCTAGAGCTGAGAACCATTCCAGGCCCAGCTCTGCACCCGGGCATGAAGTAGGAAGAAATCAACCCATACTGTGTTACTCCACGTGTCCATGTGACTGTGCACGGGGGTGACTTTAACTGAAAACAAATTTCTGAGGGCCAGCAGAAGGTATCCTTTAAGTCCCACTCAGGCCCATTATGTGATTCCACTTAAGTGATGCCCACAGTCCTTCACTGGCCTTCTGCAGAGGGGCAAATTTCACCCTTTGGGTGAACATTGGTGGCAGTGGAACTTAGCAGAAAGAGGATGCAAAATGGGCATAACAACCTGGCTGGAGCAAATGCACTGAAAATGTGCATCAATATTTGCAGAAATATTTTTTCATCCAGCTCTAATCAGTATCGGTAAAATCTGCCTCAGACCTGTGCAATCAAAAAATGTATGCAATCTACTCTGCCTCTGACATAACACTGCATAAGATGCCACTCCCAGTCACTTCTGGAAGATCAAATTAATGTGTTACAGGAACACAAGGCTCAGCCACTGCCTTGTTGGAGTGGTTAAGGAAGATGTGGAATGTATTCATCAAGCTGACATGAAATAATAACTCATAGAGAGCAAGTTCCAAACCTCGCACCATTCTAATTGGTCTGGCTGCTGAATGGACCTGTACCCAAAATGGGACAACATTTTGTTTCTTCTTGGGAGGTACCAGGCTGGGTCCATCTTTCCCAGCTCAGGAAGTGGGCACACATCCACACTCCAGGGGTATCAATCCCGTAGTCTTTCAAGTATGTCTGAGGGGATCTCTGCAGTTCCAAACCACCACCAGATGTTTGCAGCAAGCTAGCCAATCTGTGCTCAGTTCCCAGTGCCTGCTCATTGTCCAAAGATCTGAGCGCCAGGAAGTTCACTCTGACCTGGAGCAGACAAAGCTGAAGGGTGAGCTGCTGTTCCCACTTTATAGATAGGATCCTTAAAGTCCGATGGTCCATGGTAATGTTCTCAGAAACTCCCTCCAAACATGGACCCTGTTGCTCCAGTGATCCTGCCTTAACCTACCAATGGAGAACTTATTCACTCTGCATTCGTATCCAGAGCTGCCGCTCAACCGCTTGGCTCTGGAGTGCACGTGGGTTGTAACTCTCCTGAGAATGGGTCCTCTTATAACAGTGAAGTCCTGGAACCGCCTGGGCTTGAGAGACAAGAAGAATAGTCTTACTCTGGGCATTTCCTCTTCCCATCCAATTTAGGACAGCACGAAGGAGGTTGCGTGGGTGCATGGGTGAACATTATGGCACCAAAAGATAAAACAAAATGATAAGAGGAATTTCTACCAACATTTTTAAATGTTAAAAAAAGATTTTGAGTCCAATTTGGTTCAGCTTGCGATTGGGGTTCTGATTTCTTGACCAAAGGCGTTCTGAATGCTTAAGCAAAGTGAATCCCTGACTTTTAATGACTGTCGCCATTCCCAGGCTGTTCATGTTCTGAGTTTATTCCCTTTCTCCTGTATGCCACACACAGTGTCAGTCCTGGCACATAGTGAGGTGTAGGCAGAGCCAAAGGGCGGAGCCAGCATCGTGGTCAGGAGGCAAGTCGGTGGTCAGAGCCAGGAATCAGGAGTTCAGAGGCAGGCAGGGACTAGGCCCGGAGCGGAGCAGGTAAGGGGCAGTGCATGGGCTGGACAGGAAGCTGGAAGCAGGCCTGGCGCATCTGCAGGAAGCGGAAAGCATTGATCAGCCACTGGGCTGCTGTTGCTACCCGGCCGTAATAGGGACCTGTTGGGCCTTCAGTCCAGTCAAGGAGCACAGTCACTTAGTGAGGGTGTATTGGGCCCAGCCAAGCTCATTGGGTTGCTAGGCAACAGCGCCCAGAGCCAGCTGAGTTCCTAACACTTCAGCCTTGATGTTAGGCACTGGCGTGGTGGGCAGGTTTTTATAGCATGAACGGTGCAACTTAAATATTATTGGCTGGCAGCAGCTCCCTTAAGTCTGTCCCTAAAGGAATAGCAGGTAATAGAGGAGAGTTTGCTGCTGACCGGCAGCTGGTGTGTACTCATGCAAGAGTCTACGCAAGCCCCGCATTTAACACTTAGCAATTCCAGATGCCATCCCATAAAATTGGATAAGCTAAGTGGGGGCAGTGGCTGAATGGGAGATATCCAAGGAAAATCCAAAAGTGCTGCAGGAAGTGGAGCCGGTTATTCAGTAGATGGCACTCATCTCTCTGAGACAGCACTGATCCCAACGCGTTGGCCTGGGGTGAGTGTGGGGCAGGAAATGCCATCTTTTGGATAAGGTCCTCTCCACTTCCACGCATTAAAAAAACAAACACCATTTTTCCTCTAGAGCTCAGATGTTAGCCCAAGTGTCCAGGCCCAACTGCCAACGGGTTGGAAGCTCAGGGGCCACTGAACAGGTTGCAAGGGATGGGCAAGCATTTGGATTGTTTCCTGTTTAATCCGAAATTGTTTCCTGTTTAATCTGTTTAGTCTGCTCTCCCTAAACTTTACCGTATATCCCATCAGGAGCTGACCATATTTACCATCACGGCCCGACCCCAAGAGTAAAAGGTGAGGAGTAAGAAACCGCAACGCTGACAGTTTTTCAACCTTCGTGAGAACGAACCTAATCCTTCATGTTATTTAATGCGTGGGGCTTGTTGGGGCAATTTGTGAGGGGAGGCAAAGTGAGTACATAACTTGGTGGAGAACTGAATACAGTATAAGTGTTTGCAGCTCAACTTGCCTAAACAGAGTTGTCAAACAGGCTGGCAGGGCACCCGCCTGGGATCCTGCACTAGGGTTTACACAGCAAAGCTAATGGCAAATGCAACAAATACTGTGGAGGAGGGAAGGGCTGGGCTTCAAAGAATCCAGGTGGGAGTACAGGAGCTAGATAAGTGGTGCACTAGGGTTTCTTGGGGCTCCTAATTTGTTTCCCAGGCTCCTAATTCCACTGGGACAGCAGCCGCATTCCTCCCTATGTGTTTACGGAGATTGTGGGTTTTTGTTTTTTCCCCCCCGGCTCAGAAGCAGTCCAGGCAGCGCACACACGGAGTACATACCATACAGCTGAGGCGGGGCGCAACACAAATATGCCTTTTCAGAATAGCTTTTACACCTGGAAGAGGAGACTGGTTTATTACCTTGGTAAACAAAAGTTCGGATTCAAGCAAAAGTACAAACTTTGCCCCGGGCTGTTCTGACTGCGTACCTTGTGTTTGTGAACTCCGCAACTCCGAGACAACGTGAGGCAATGGAGCTACTTCCAACGCCCCCCTCTTCCTTTGTCAGAGTCCCAGAATTTAAAAGTTCCTGTTTGGGGGGTGGGGGTGGGGAGAAGAGGTGCGGAGGGTGTTATATGATGTAATCCACCCCAGCTCTGGCTTGTTTGAAACAGCATTCAAAAGGATTCCCTTTAGTGGGCAGAAACACGTGTGGTCAGTTCTCTTTCTGCACTGGGGGTTTGTTTTTGTTTTTTTAATAGGAAGAATAGAATATATGTCACGGGATGTGTGAGTTAGCAGCAGGGATGGGGCCAGGTCATGCTTCTGCCAGCCAGGTATATTAGTGGGGAGAGAGGGGTGCAGATTCCTCCCTGACCATAGGTGCTGGAAGCAGAGGTGTAGCCGCACCCCCGTCACAGCAGCTACACAGAATTCCAGCCTCATGCTTAAGAGAGCACCAGGTAGGGGGATGGGCTAAAGTACAGAGGGTAGAATTCAGGCCATTTAAACCCCCCGCTCCAGCTCATGTAAGCCTGGAGGAACAGGCCAAAGTCAATGCACCACTTGCATCCCATCATCGTAAATGGGCCTTTCGCTGGCTCTTTGCACAGGCTCAGGTTCACTCTAAATAACAAGAGGATTAGCCCACCCTAGTCCATAAGGGGTGTGGTCTGCTAGAGGGCGTGGCCTGTCCTCCACCTTGTCTAGTTACCGTCAGTAGACTGTGCCAGTCGGGAAAGGGGATGTGGGGGAAGAGTTACAAATAGATTTTAAAGGAGCAGCAAAACGAGCCTGGTACTGCATTCCCAGCCCACCCACTCTGAGCCCTTTCCCCCTGTGCCACCAAGTTGGCTCCTGGACCGTGCGCAAATCTGGGCCCATTGTTCAGAATTTCGCTGAATGTTTCTCCTAGGGAGGTGTGAATATAAGTTTGGATAACACTTAAAACTGACCCAAACCTCAACCCCACACTTGGACTGAACTAGAATGAAAACTTTTTGCAAGTTTGAAAATATTCAGATGACTTTTTTTTGGGGCAACATATTTGCTGATGCCTCTGTATTTCCCCAGGGTGACCAGGACCATAAGTAAATGTGCCCAAAAACTTTCAACGAGGCTTTCAACATAAGTATTTTCAGCCCAACCCAAAATAGTGGCTGCTGGAAATCTGACTGAAGGGCTGCGTTTCTTGAGATTTCCAAGAGACTCGAATAATTGAGAGAAGCATCCCCACTTTTGGGTGCTCTTCCGAACTGATGTGAGATTCAGTCATCATGCCTGGTTTCACTGGGCCAGATTCACCGCTAATGTAACTCCGCTGGAGTTGCCACAGGGATGGATGTATTCCGGGGTATGAAAATTCTGGCAGTGATGTATAGTGTCCACCTGTGGGCTGAGACCTGGGATAACATCTAATGATCATGGTGGGGATACATGGATGCTTATTGACCAGACCTGGTGTATCTGCTTAGGCTGTGTATCTCTGGCCATGTATCTCTGGGGAGATTTTCAAAATCGTACATAGGAACTGGGCCCCCCACGCCCACTGATTTTCAATGGGAGCCGTGTGTCTAACTGCTCTGTATGCCTTTGGAAATCTCTGCCTTACACACGCCTTTTCTGTTGCTGCATTTGGCTCCAGATCCCCAGGCAGCCTGCAGGGGCAGTGTTAGAAAACCCATGTGCTGATCACCACAGACCCAACTACTAGATAAAGATACATCACTTACAACCTGGGCCTTTCAGCTTCAAACCTACAAGTCTCTGCCCATAGGTCCCTTATGCCCTCCGTGGGCCCAGTCACTAGGGTGAGACATCCCACTCACATTCTGATCAGTCTGTCACAGCTCCTTGCTTTCTACCTTTAGTGGAACAGGCCAGGGTAGCAGAAAGAAGATAACAGTACATCTCTGGTATTCAAACCTGGCACCAGCAGCCCTTCATTTGCATGAGGTGGGATATTAACCCTTTTCAAAGCAGCCCACTGCAGCAAAGGAAGGGATTAATAAGCAAACTCTAGAAAATTACATTGAATTCATTATGCTTATTAAACCCAGAATAAACTGACCTGCTGGGGAGGGGCAGGGGAAATCTACAGTAATGTGTTAGTTTGTGGGTGTTTGGATAGATGAGTCGTTAACCAAGGACGAGCATTAAATCAAGAGAGCAGCAGGGGTGATGTCACTGGAGAAATGTCCACTCAGCTCTCTGAGCATAACTTCTGTTGACCCATTCACTTTGTCTGGATTACAAGACAAAGTCATTAGGGTTAAATTTCATCCAAATATAGTAGCCCCATTAACACAGCTGTGATTTCAATTTGTTGAGTGATGGCTTTGGCTGTGTTTATTGCAAGCTCTTAAAAATTCTTGGAAGACAAGTACATATAGAAATTAAATGCATTTTGCTACAGGATTCATTGAACGTGTCTAAATACACGTAGTATAACTACAGGGTTCAATTCTGATCTTAGATACACAGGTACTGATTGTCTCCTGTGCTGCAAAATGCTGCGGTTTTGCCTGGGTGCGCAAGTCCCGTTGCGCAAGTTATTTACAGGAAGACTGGACAAAGCACTGAACAATTTACTCCAGGGAAGAACTCTGCCTGGCACCAGACGGACTGCAAAAGGACCCAATAGATGATAAGCTTTTTTAGTTCTGTGTTTGTACAGTGCCAAACACAATGAGGCGCTGGACCATGATTCGGGCTCCTAGGCACTATCGAAATACACCTAATATATAACAGTAATAATTTCCATTTCTAACTTCTGTAATGATTCTCGAAGGAGACGTCTACACTGCAAAGGGTTTGCAGGTATAACTATACCAGCCAAACCGATTAGTGGAGATGCAGAGTTAGTTTGCCAATATGCCTATCAGTTCCGCAAACCAAATAAGTTATGCCAGCAAAAGCACTTTGCCCTGTATAACTGCATCTACACAAGGGCTTTTTGCCAGTGTACAAATGTCAGAAAAATCACACTTGAACCCAGCATTATTATACCAGCAAATGTTTCTTGTGTAGATCTGCCCTAAGCAATTTTGAAAAATATGCGACAATACGCATACGTTTGCAATTGGACTCTGAGAGCAACAGAACAGGACCTACCTGGCTGGAGAATGACCCACTTCACTGTGGGTTTCTGGCAGTTAGATATAGTGTTCCTATATCTTCCTGTTTACACGTGTTTAACTCCCCTGAGTTCAATGGAGTGACTCCTGACATAGTGTCAATCAGATCAGAATCAGGCCCAGGAAAGCCAGGAGCTCAGTGCATTTCTTTGCATATCAATACCCACAATGCCCCTCAGGTTCCCAGCACTGCAGTGTCTGACTTCAGATCTGGAAAAGGACCCTTTTTGTTTGTACTGGACCTCCGGGATCGGTACAAGATCAGAAATGAGGATATTCAAAGCCAAACTCAACAACCACCTCCATCAGCACTTGGTCAGTTTCGCCTGCTTTCTTGGTATGGACATGTTATTAGAATGGAAGACCAATGAATTCCAAAGCGTGTGTACCAAGGAATGCTGCGACATGGCCAGCGATCATGTGGGCATCAAAAGCTTTGGTGGCCCAACAAGATTACCAGTGATGGACATAAACTGAATATACAGCCAGAGCACCTGAAGCACCTTTCCAGAGTTTGATCTGGATGGTGCTCAAACTTGCAAGGAGTCCCTGGGCTTTTGGATTTGTCACGATGATGAAGTGTTTGCACTATGTTCCTTTCTACAATACTTCTACTGAAAATCTCCAGTGGTGAAACACAGGAAGTAGGATGAGATGTTGGCCTGTAAAGTGGTGCAACTTCATTGAAGTCCAGTGGCTAAAATCAGATCTGGTGCAGGTGGATGCAAACGTTATTGACTTTATGGGAGCTTGCACTTGCTTTTCCCAGACCAGAATTTGGACCAAAGTGTAACTGAGGCCAGATTTGGCTCCGTTAGCTATCATAAATATTCCATATCGGCACAAAAATGTGCATATAATAAACAAGCTTTCAGCATATAATAAATGTATAGAATATATCAAAGGCATGCTGTAGATAGCAATGGATGATATGGAGCAGGGATAGCCAAAGGCGGCACATGAGCTGATTTTCAGTGGCACTCAACTGCCTGGGTCCTGGCCACCAGTCGGGAGGGCTCTGCAATTTAATTTAATTTTAAATAAAGCTTCTTAACCATTTTAAAAACCTTATTTACTTTACATACAACAATAGTTTAGTTATATATTATAGACTTATAGAAAGAGACCTTCTAAGAACATTAAAATATATTACTGGCACGCGAAACCATAAATTAGAGTGAATAAATGAAGACTCGGCACACCCTTTCTGAAAGGTTGCCGACCCCTGATATGGAGCATTGTAAAACACCACATGTCCTATGTGTCCAAACAAAGTCAAATCCTGGCAATTGCCCCTCATCGATATCAGAGAGAAAAGCTAAAGCTAGAGGCAGAGAGTGGTGGAAGCCTTCTATCCCCATCCCCCCAACTCCTAAAACTAGTGTCGAGGATGCGTTTCAGATTCTCTGTGATGGAGGCCTCAAAGAGTCCCTTTGGGACCATGCCTAGTAGGAGACTTTGCACTCTCATTGCTCCTTGTGTCAAAGAATCTGCAAAGGCTTTACCCCAAACTCATGAATGAAGCCTCACAACCAGGCCAGTGAGGTACTTAAGAATTGTCAGCCTGAAGGATGGGCAAACTGAGGCACAGAGAGTGAATTTAGCAAAGGTCATACAGCAATCCAATGGCACAGCTGCGACTAGAACCCAGTCGTTCTGACTCTGTCAGTGGCTCTAACTGCTGGATGCACTGTCTTCTTATGAAGACTAGGCCTGGCAACAGAGTCACGTTAACACATCCAGAAGGACTCAGTGTTTCCGCAAGCTGCAGGGGGAGTGGGCAAAAACTGTGCTGCCACACAAAGGGGGTATAACTAGAAACAACTGGACAAAAATGAACAGGGAGGGGAGACACCTGGAATAAGGATCAGGAAATATTTTCTGACAGTGAGCTCTAGGGGGCATCCTCCCAAGGCAAGTGCCGGAAGCGCCATCACTTGGGTCATTTAAATTGCTCAATCCTGAATTTGATCGCCAGGATGCCTGGGTATCTGGACAGCCATCAGTGGCTCCAGGATGGCTAATGTCATGTATTGTGGGACTGTTACACTCTGAGGCACTCCAGAACAGCAATCCCAAAACACAAGGAAATCGAAGCAAAATGAACGGGCAGGTGGTCAATCAAAATATGTAGTAGCCATGAACCAGTTAAATCAGCAACAGTCTGAACAAACCACAATCACAGTCCACAAGGCAGTCCCATCACAGGGAAAATCAGCCCCTCTTCACTCGGCAGGCTGAATGGCAGAAGAACTTGCAAGAATTCAGAAAGGAACAGACGCAGGTGGAGCACCAACTGCTAAAGTGAGTCTCACAATGGGGAACAGCAGTAGGACACAGGGGGTTAACCTATGCAAGATGGGCCCAGCGGGTGATCCAGACATGTCTTTGGAGAGACTTCTGAGAGAGTAGTAATGGGAGCCAGACAGGATTTTAAGGGATTTTGTGCCCTCTGGGTAGCACCCGATTTGTAAGAGGAAGGCTAGGCAGCCTACATGGTCCTGATCAAGGACCAGGCCCAGACTATGAGGTTGTAAAAATGTCCATCCTGGATCAGGTAGGCCACCTGGTGGAACAATATAGACAGAAATTTCAGGCCACTAAAGGGACTGGAGAGGTATGGCCCAGGGCATTAGTGCAAAAGTTAACTGAGTAGGCTACCTGCTGGCTAAGGCCACACCCCCAAAGTGTGGGGGAAATAATAAATGTGACAATACTGCAACAACTTCTCCAGTGCTGCCCTGACAAACACCCGTGTCTGGGTCCAGAGCCACCAGCCAATGACCCTGGAAGCAGCGATCAAACTCTCAGAAGAGTTTGTGGGAGTGGACTTTCCCAAGAGAGAGGTGCGATCATTTCAGGGGAAGAAAGGGGGCAACTTGCTCTCATCAAGAAGGACAGAGGGGAAAAAAAAGGCTGAGACTAGAAGAACTTCAAGGAACTGGGGACTGGTTTGCTACTAGCGTGGGGCTCCATGGCATGACCCAGGGGTCTCGAACCTGGACCATGGGAGTCACCATGCTCCTGGTAGCCTGCTGGCAAGAGCTTATCTAAGACCCAGGAAGCCCTGACCCCATATGAGGCTCCACCCCTTCAGGTCTAACTGGTAGAGTCCCAAAGCGGCTGGTTGGCCCGCTGGCCCTACTTAAGCCAGCAGTAGTAACAGGAAACTGTCTGAATAACTGTGCCTTGTGCTTCCTGCTGATGCTGCCATCTCCTCCTGCTTCCAGCCCCTGCTTCCTTGGCTTGATTTCTTGGCCTCCTGACCCAACTTGACTCCTGGCATCTGACCTGTGGTTCCCAACCTCCAATTTGTCTCCTGCCTTTGACCCCCTGGTATCCTGACCCGGCCTGATCCTGGTTCCTGACTTGTGGTTCTCATCTCCAGTTTGTCTCCTGCTTCTGACCTCCTGATGTCCCGACCCAGCTGTCTCATGACCATGGCCTCTGGCTCTGACTATTAGGCCTGGCTACCCATGACCTGTCTGGGACAGCATGGGGCATATAAAGTGAGACTGGCTTGTTATGGAATGTGGGATTCATGGAATTCTGTGGTTGGACGGTGACTGTCAAGGATGAATAAAGAAAACCCCCAGCACCTCTGTAAGATCAGGAAGAAACTCCAGCAGGGACTGGTGGACACCATCTTGGGATGCTCGCAGCTAGGAAGGACTTGGTGAAGCCCCACTGGATGCTGTCAGGTCGAAGTTCAGCGTTAGAAAGCAGCCATGGTGAGACTCTGCCCAATGGCTGAGATACCCCTAGAAGTTAAGGGGAAGTTCAGATGGAAGCAGATGGGGGTAGTAGATAGACTGCCTCATCCAGTCATTATAGGGAGAGACTGGAGCCCCAGCCTTTATAAAAGGAAAACAGGGCTCAGGGTCACGCGCAGCAGAAATCTGGGTCAACAGGGAATGAGGAAAAAGGGCAAGAATTAGACCAATTAGAAACCCATAAACCAAAGGAAACAAGCCAGGAGGAAAATGGAACCTCCCTCGGGAAAAGGAGTGGAGGAGAAGGTAATTCAGAGCAAGACTTAAGGGAAGAGAGTAACTCTAGATTATTGATAGGAGTTGAACAAAAAACAGAACGGTGGAAAGAAGAGCCCCGGGAACAGTTTATAGGGCTGGGAGACTCAGAACCACTAGTTAATAAGAAAAAATGGGGGACAGCAACAGACTTAGAGTAAGGAGAATAAACCAACAAGTTGTCCATGGAGGGGTAGAAACAGAAGCATCAGGACATTCCCCGCCCACGAAATGTGACTTTTGCAGGGGGAAGATGGTTGAGTGTGAACTAAAACAGTTCCGCGCCCGCCCCCACCTGAAGAAGGGAGGGTGTGGGGAAAGAAAAACCTCCCTGTTAAGCCGGGCAGGGGCGGGGGAGAGGTGTGTGACAGAGTGCTATGAGCCAGCACTCTGATCACTGTGGCATCCCGTAGAGTGGGGAATGGAAGGGAGCTATCTAATCACATTGGGAGGCTGTGCGGAGCTCAAGAACTAATTAGCCCCGCTGGAGACTGCTAAAGAGAGACAGGAAGGAAGTGCTGGGGGAGAACAGGGCCAGCTGAGCCCAGACCGACGGAGTCCTCAGGCAAGGGAGCTCTCTGCTCCTCCCAGGCCCTGGGGAAAGGGCTGGAGGTACAGGGGAAAATAGCATGGCTGCACGGGACTGTAAAGGTGTGGGTGGAGGGAACATAAATAAACACCACAATGTTGCTACCTACCCGGCAGAGTCTGAGCAGGTTTCTGTGCTAACAGGCAGAGTGCCGCCCTGATACACCTCCCCTTTGCTTTTCCTTCCGTCTCTCTATTTCCTTTTCCTTGAGGTAGCTCAGCATACTCCATTCCCTTCTCTTCCATTATCCCCCTTCACGCCTCAGTCTGCTAAGGATCACGGTCTGGAATATACCACGTTCTGTAGACGGGCAGAGTCTGGGAACTGCTGCTAGGGGGTGGCCTCTTGGTTCCTGTTATTTCTACAATCATTTGTCTTTACTTTGCAGGGAGCCAGGGGAACTCTCTGGTCTCCCTCTCTCTTTCCCTTACTCAAGCCCCCCACGTGGGAGCTTCCTCTTATGCTACTTCTGTTGGAGTCCATTGGTGCCACTGCTGGTGCTGGCCCAGAGTTGGGGGGACGACTACCACAGCTTCCCCCACAGAGTCAGCCCAGCCTGCCTCCAGTTGTTCAACAGCATATCTGGATTTTTCCTGTTGCCCTGCAGCACTAAGGAGCTGTTCTTTTGCTGGACAGTTCCTCGTTGCCTCAGGGAAGATATCAGCACCATCAGCTTCGTCTGACTGAGGCATGGACTGTGCTGTGTTGTTCATTGTTCCAATCCAGAGTTCTGCTTCCACAGCCTCCCAAGTGCCAGAAGAGGCTTTGGCCTGCCTGCCAGCCTACCGAATGCTGATCCAGGGTATCAGAGTATAATTCAAAGCAATTAATCCATTTGAAAGATGGTATTCTCCATCTAGCTTCATGTTATCATAGCGTCCTAGAAATGTCGAGCTGGAAGGGACCTCAAGAAGTCACCAAGTCCAGCCCCCTGCGCTGAGGCAGGACCAAATAAACGTAGACCATCCCCGACAGGTGTCTGTCCAACCTGTTCTTAACAACCTCCAAGGATGGGGATTCCACAACCTCCCTTGGAAGCCTGTTCCGGAGCTTAACTACCTGGAGAGTTAGAAAATCTTTCCTAGTATCCAACCTAAATCTGCCTTGCTGAAGATTAAGCCCATTTCTTCTTGTCCTACCTTCAGTGAAGATGGAGAATAATTGATCGTTGCCCTCGTTAGAACAGCCTTTAACATATTCGATGACTGTTATTGGGTCCCCCCTCCATCTGCTTTTCTCAAGACTGAACAAGGCCAGTTTTTTTAGCCTCTCCTCACAGGCCAGGTTTTCTGAAATTTATATAATTTTTGTTGCTCGCC